TTTTAAAGCCCCATCAAGCCCCAAGGGCCCTTCTGAGACCCCGACTTGGTGCAGCAGCAGCACCGCGGCTACCGAGGGCTCGGGGAGTTTGTGCTCAGCTCTGGTCTCACATCACAAACTCCTCATTTCCAGCAATCATCAGCAAAGAGCAGATGCAAGATTTAATACTCTGAGTCCTTAATTGCCCCTTCTGCTAAAAATTAAATACTGGATTCATCTGAATATTCGAGACAGACACATAAATACAAAAGCAGGCACATAGTAAAAAACATTGAATTTCTCAAGCACGCCTCTCAGGCCACCAGCAGAGAGGGGCTGGTTCTCACCCCAGCTTAGCAGAGCCATGGAACTCCATCCTGCTGCCCCTCAGGGACCCTCAGAGCTCTGGGTGCTGTGCATTGGCTGAAGCCCTTCCTGGGCTGGGCTTTCCTGCTTTTCCAGTCGGGGAGCAGCTCAAGGCACAGCAGCCACCACTGAACATCCCTCACCTACAGAGGATCCTGCAGGGTTCAACCACGCTGATGCAAGGGGGAGGAAGCTGTGAGTAACTCAGGGCTCCCTCAGCCTTTTCCTGACACCCAGGGGCAGCCAGAGCTCCGGGGAAATGCCTTACCATGGGATTTCTCCTTCTTTGTGCATCTGCACACTGATTGCTGGAGATTAAGTCAAATGGGCAGCACTGGATTACTCCTAAGACAAGCTTAACACAAAATACAACCTGCATTCAATACATTAACAATAAACAGACCACCAGAGCCTGGGAAAGCACAGGGTGTCCTGTGCTCTGCAGCCACACCAAGGGAAGAGCCAAAGGTCCTGCTGCTGACTCTGGAGGAACAAACCCGGGTGAAATCCTGGAGAAACGAGCCCAGCCTGCCATGAAATGAGAGCAAGTTCCAGCCTGGAGCTGCAAGCTGAGCCAGGGCAGGCTGCTCCCACCCCTCTGAGCTCCACACCAAAGCTGCTTTAATCAGTTCTAGGAGAAATCAAACAAAGCCTGGGCTGCCCCCAGCAGTGCCAGCCCAATCGCTGCTCCCTGGCCACAGAACAGGAATTCACCTCACCTGCAGCACCGTGGGCATCCAGGGCAGCGTGGGCATCCCTGGCTCAGCCCCAGCCCTGCCCAGGGCCCTGCTGGGCTCCCCAGGGGACTCCAGAACCCACAGAGCTCTCGTGAATCAGGGAGCAGCAAACAAAGGGGAGAGGAAATTAATGCTGGAGTGGAGATAATCTCCCCTTTATCTCACTGCACTGCTGGGCCAGCTCACATTTTCCACTGGAAGTCATTTCACTTAAGAGATGATGAGGGGAGATTAAGCAAAGTTTTTATGCATCATCTGAATCCTGGGTTTCAAAAGGCCTCAATTAATATTGGTCAGCAATTAATTATCCTTTAGCAAGGGGCTGTAGCTGTGGTTCCCAGCAGAAATCCAGGGTGGCTGAGGAGGTGACTCCGTGTGCAGATTTCATATTAAATTGGGATTTATTCCCACTTGTGCCCTCAGGATCAGGCTGGGCTCCTGCTCACGCCATCACCTGTAATCCCTCTGGGATTTCAGAGGGTGTTTTGTGGTTAATGCAGGAGGCACCCAAGTCCAATTTCCTCTGTCATTATGAGAAAAACAACAACAACATTTGTCACCAAAATAAGCAAATCAGACACTCATGGAGGAAACCCAGAGCCATTTTACAGAGCACATTTTTCCCCCCTCTCATTTAAACAGCCAAAAGTCAAATATTTCTACAAAATTCAGGATAAACTTTTCTTTACAGCTATGTTAGAAACCAGTATCTGAACCAATCCATGGTGACAACAGACCTGCTTTGTAAAAGGCCCAAAAATTCCTGTTTTATACAGATCTCTTCTTGCCCCAGTCCGTGCAGGCAGACCTGTAACTCAGATCAGACACACTGCAGAATTTAACAAACATCCAAAAGCCTCCAGTGCTGCTTGTGCTGTGCTGCAGCCAACAGCTGCAGTCCAGATTCAGGCAGAGGAGATCCCAGAGTCCTGTGACAGGAGCACATCCACCATCAGAGTCCTCCTTGCATTGCAGATGTGTAACAAGGCAGTTCCTGTCTCTGGAAGGGAGCTCCCCAACATCCCTCCATCTGCTGGGACCTGCCCTGGTGGCTCTGGGTCCCCTCACTCCAGCAGTGCCAGGCTGTGCCAAAGCAGGAGAGGCTGGCAGAGGTCTCTGAGAAGGAGCCTTGGCAAGGGAGGAGTGTGGAAATTCCTGCTGGTGTTTGATCCAGTCAGCTCCCCCCGTGGATCAGGGCACTCCCACAGAAGTTTGCAGGACTAAAGCTTCATCAAAACCATCCTCAAGTCCATCCCAGTCAGTCCTTCCCACAGCCAGCTTGTTTGTCTTTCATAGATAAAAAAACAAGAAAAAAAAAGATTTCCATAGGAAACTGATTATCACTTTCTCCCCTCCCCCTCTAATATTTTGGCACAAATGCATAAGATATTCACTGCAGATATAAAGAAACAGATAATTGGACAGCACTGACAAAGTTATGAGACTTATTTGGCAAATGTGAACCATAAAAACAAGTGCTAAGGGTTTTTTCCAGTTGTGGAAATTGTTTGCCACGACAGTTGCTGCAGGGATAAAAAATATTAAACAGTCTGGAGCATGTATGTTTAAAATGAACATTTTATAATACAAGTAAATACACACTGTCCCAACTCCTCCAGGCAAAAACACATCTTAGAGCACTTTCATCAGCTGGAACAGTTTCCCACAGCACAGAGGGCTGGTGGTGTCTGAGATGTCCTGGCTGCTGCACGTGACAGCTCGGGCTCCCCCTCCAGGGCTGCTCCACAGCCAGGCCTGGGCACTCCAGCCCTGCTCCCCCTGGGCAGGAGCCCCTCGGGCTCTGCAGAGGCACAGACTGGGAAAGCAGAGCCCAGAGCTGCTGGGTGAATGCAGACACACTGCACAGAATGGGCCTGATGCTCCAGGCACGGCTCCCCAGGGACAATCCTCCCTCTGGGAGCAGCTCCAGTCAGACATCGCTGCAGCAACACCACAGAGAGCCCCCGGGTGGGCTTTGGCTCCAGTGAATCCAGGCTGATCCTTGGGGGCATCGTCCCTGGGCACCAGGCAAGGCTCTGCCTGCTTGCTGCAAGTCCAGAGGGGGAAATTCCTTCCTTTTCGGAACATTCCTGGGGAATTCCTTCTTCTGGGTGTTTGAAATGCCTCCTTCCTGCTGCTGCTGCAGTACCGGTGTGGACCAGGTGGGTGGGGAAGGAATTCAAGAGCAGGAGCCATCCCAGAGT